TTTCGGGTAAGTTAAAAAAAAATAGAACCCGTACCCGTAACTGCTCTACCCGTACCCGACCCGTACCCGACAACTTCGTACCCGTACCCAACCTTCGGGTCGGGTCGGGTACGGGTACGGGTCGGGTTGCACATCTCTACTGTCGTGTATACCATCGAATAGCGTCAGCTCTTCGGTAAGTGTCACTGAATTCTTGGATGGTTCCCGCTTGTTTTCTGTTTCCGCGATAATACTCGTGACACGTTTCAATCATCTGCCGTTTCCCATGATTATCAGGAGGCATTTGGATGATTAAATCTTTGAATAGTTGAAACCACAGAAAGGATGCAGATTCGCGAGTTAAATCACGAGTTGATTTTTGTTGATTATAAAAGCTGAATGATTGGATTTGTTTCTCAATCAGATTGATGTTGGTTTTGATCGACTTTGCGAGTTCTTCATGCTCGCTGAATATTCCGATTATTTTCGAGTATTCATTTTGGAGATGTTTGTACTTGTTTGGTTTGAGACAAAAGATAAATATGGAGTCGATTTGAGACTGAGTCTCGACATGAGGCAAAAGATCGATGGCACATTTGCCCGATGTGACAAGAAATATTCTCTCATTTTGAACGTTTCTGATGTGGTCAATACATGAGTCTAATTGTGTGTGGAAAACAACGAAGTCGTTGATTTCTCTCAACATTGCCATAGTGCGTTGTGTGTCATAGTCTGAAGCCATGTTCGGATCAAGCCAGATCAATGTCACACTCTCTTTGTTTTTATCATTTTGTGTTCTCTCACTAGTGGCAGTCATTGGTGGTTGAAGTGAAGAAGAAGATGCTTCTAATGTGGGTTGTGCATTTTCATTGGTTTTTGTGTATGAAGATGATGACGCTTTGGATATATTTGTTACTACTAATGGAAGCGTCGAAGATGTTGACTCTGTGTCATGCTTTTCGTTGCTCAACCAGTATTTGTAAGAAGTGGAGGATGAGGATGAGACTATCGCTTTAGTCTTAGAGTTTATGTGTTGTCGCTGAGGTGTTTTAAAATTAAAGAGTAGAAGAACTGAGGTGATTGGGCTATTGTAGCGTTTATGACTGTATCACATAACTATTAGTGTGTGCTCTTTTGCTTTGTTGGAAATAAGAATGATGTTACAGTGAAGAAGCGTACATACATCCAGTTTGCAGGCATTGATTTAGTAGGTGTAAAACTCTTCTTGCCGACGACGGTTTGTGTACTTTGTTTTAAATGGAATATATCAGTGTTCGTATATCAGTCTTCGTTGTGAGTAAAGGTAATGAGAGTAAAAGTGATAGGGAAAGTGTATTTGTTCTAGTTGATAAGAGAATGATGTCGAAAAGTGTTTTGCTTTCATGAAATGTAACAGCATACGGTTATGTTTGTTTAGTGAAACAAAAAGAGAACAGGCGAATGATCCTTACTCTCCACTTCACTGTTGGTCGTCGTTCTTTTTATTTTTCTCTAATGCATAGGACATTTTGTTGTCTACGCATGCGCAATGTAAATATCTCAGTATCTAGGGGTGAGGTACATTTCGGAAGATCTGGAGGGGAGCAGAGATGGGCGAGTACGAGTATATACTCGTACTCGAGTATACTCGAGTACAAAATCTTCAGTACTCGTACTCGGTAGTTTTCTTTACGAGTACTTAAAAATATACTCGAGTATTTTCGAGTACCTGAAATTTTTCCACTAGTATGCTGTACAAAGAATTTTTGGGCTTGTGAATTTTGTATCTGCTTCAGACATTAAAAATTTAAGACAAATGACTTAACATACAATAACCTATAATTAAAATAAGAACAAATCAGGCTATTTTCTTCTTCTTTTCTTTCTTAGTCATTCTTGATAGTGATACGGAAAAAAATTTTGGTAAAGAACAGAGAATGGACAATGATCTTATTTTAACGAAACATCAATCATATCCTCAGCTATCAAAAATAGCTCTAAAATATTTTACTGTCCCTGCAACGTCCGCATCAATAGAGAGAATTTTTTCTCAAAGCGGCTTTATCATCCGCCCACATCGTTCAAAGTTATCAGCATCAACGTTATGCGTGTTAACATTTTTAAAATGCAATAACGATCTTCTAGAATAATGTTTCATTCTTGTGTGTTCAGATAAAGTAAATCAAATAAATAATAAACAGTAAAATAAAAAAACTAAGAGTAGAACCTAATTCTCCTTCAACTGATAGCCAGAAAGATATTGAAAATGGCCATTGTTAGGCGGCAGCTAAACCTTTTTTCATGAGTATTCTCGTCTTTAAAAAATTTCGTACTCGAGTATTTTCTGAAAAGTACTCGAGCACTTTTTAGAAAATACTCGTACTCATACTCGACGCCCAGTACTCGTACTCGTACTCGAGAATCTGCGTACTCGCCCATCTCTGGAGGGGAGGGTACTTTTTTTCCCGTAGAGAAAAAAATGCAGGTTGCAAAAATGAAAAGAACACAGATGCATTTGGCCATGACGCCCTTGCTCTTGATTCGAAATGTATGATTATTTCTATTCGAAAAACACAGCAGAATTAAAAGAACATGGTCATCTAATCCGACTGGCAACTCACAAATCTTAGGCTGATTTGTTAATAGGAAATGATCTACTATTAAGGGGTGGTTTTCAATTATGAGTGTGGATTCACCACATGATAGATGGTTTTACTTGGACAATTTAGTCCAAAAGTAAATTCTTTGCATTTGAATTCAAAGTTCAAGTGTTCGATTCTATCAACTGTGTAGTGTTCTGTTGTGCTTTGCTTCTTTCTGTTCTATCCTTATCTCTCTCTCAATAGATTGTTATAATGTTCCACGCTTTAATCTAAATTGAGTTGTAGAGTTGGATGCTATGCGCACCCGTGTTTCATCAATTCAATATCCAGAGATATAAGAATTTGTAAGATTCTGTAAGAAACATAGAAACTGGTTCTTGATGTAAGATCTTATAGTAAGATTTCATCAGATTTCGTAAGATTCTTGTATGATTTTTATAAGACGAATCCGTTTCTATGATTTTCCGTAAGATTTTATAAGATCTTGATCTGATTTTTTGACCTGGATAGGGTTGCCTTCAACTTTTGCCCATCACTTTACTTCTCCTCATCCATTTTCAAGACGAGGTTTTATGTTGATTAGAACATTGACAAAATTTCCATATTTTCTTCTCGCTGCACCGTTGAACTATAGTCTAAAAAAAAACTCGACTTAAACACATTATCAGCTTTCTCATCTTCAACGTCGCTGAATATTTGACAAAAATAGTCAAAAAATCATTATACGGTTATATACAACGAATAGATATCCACCATGTTATAACACTCTCTCACGTATGTAATGATTTATATAATTGTTAATATAACAGTAAATTGTATAGTCATTCATTTTTCAATGAATACAAGAAATCTGAAAATGGTTATCGCGAATAACTTTCTCAGTTAGCTTTTTATTTCACGTATCAAGTATCATACCATCTTTTGAAGTAAAACTACAAAATAGAAAAAAAATCATCTTATGAAAAAAAACAATGTTTAACAAACGAGAAAAAAAACATATTTACTTATTTCTTATATTGAAATACAACAAAATAAAGAAATTCGTGAAATTAGAGAATAATCAGCGAAACATAAGAAATTATAGCAAAAAGATCATTTATTAATTATAGTGTGAAAGAAAGTTTAAAGTACACAGAATGTGAAAGAATTAAAAAAAATTAACTTTTTATCTTATCATTGAGATTTTGTATGGTTGAGAGATTGAATAAATAGCCGTTAGATTCAATAACGAAAATACAATATTTTTGAGATATTCAGTTTTACATTATCATGAAAACTTATCAGAGATTCACTCATATTTTGTACACCTGAGATATATTCAGACATCGATGTTAAGTACAGTCAAACAAAAACAGCATGTCTCGTACTTATAAGAGGCTGAAGCTATTTTCTTAGAAATGGAAAAGATCACTATCACATTGATATTCATATCAACATATATATCAAGGAAGATTTTGATATCGAGAAAGTCCGTCTTTATATCCTAAAATCGACTATTAGTTACTATTTTCTTTATGATTATTTCGTTTATCCAATGGACCGTTTATTTTCTTTTCGTTTCGTTGATATTCATATGAGGGAACTGTATGAGAATTTATTTTGGAAATTGTATTATTATTACGTTGATGATGATGATTGTTAGATAGAGGGGATAATGATGAATCATTATTAGTATTATAATGACCTAATGTCGAAGAATGAAAGTGTTTAACACTATTTTGAGATGACGACTGTGGAATATGAGTTAATATGGAATGCGTCGATAAATCAATAGAGGTTCCTCGTTGTTTAGATGAAAATAAATCAACTTGAGAATGAAAACGATTTAAACCGGTGCGAAGTTTGGTAACTGGAGCCGCAATATAACGAGAATGATGATAGTCAGTCGATGATTCCATTGTCTAAGTGAAAAAAGATAATAAATGTCAATGTAGTATTCTATTTTTTAAGTGAAAATTAGATAATAATCAATGATTTTCGATTCTCTTACCATACTAGTTAATCTAGGTTTTGAATATTGTGATAAAATATTGCCAGTGTCAGATGACGGATTTGTTCGTCTATTTGTACTCTAGAAGTACTAATACGTTATTGTTTTATATAAAGATAATAAATACTCTTACTTTGAGATTTTCATTTATTTTGCTTGTTCTAACATATGTCTTAGCTCCATCAATAATCTGTTGAGGTTGTGATGCAATTCCTATATTTTTTATATTTGATGATACTATACTGACGATGGTCGATGAAGGCATGCCGCTAGACGTAGTATTGGGTGCTTGATGAAGTAATGGATCGTTATCGGGTAATGAGAGAGAATGAGTTATACCGATCGACCGATTTGCACTCGCTAACGATGATCGTTGATTCGATGAACCATGATTATCAGTAGTTATATGTTGTGTTCGTTCATTTTCTTCTTGAAATTCTCTCATTAATGTGATGATGTCTTTATTTGGACGAGTATCAGGACGTCCCTATAAAGTGTATAAAGTATTTGTTGCTAAGTAATTTTTAAAATTCGCTCTGATAATGTAGATACTTACAGTAAGCCAGGGATGTACAGTCAACTCTCCCATTGTTTTTCTATGTACAGTGTCATAAACAAGCATTCCTTTCAAAAACTCTAAACCTATAGATCAAGAAAGAAGCATACAGCAAAGATGAGTCTTAATAAATGTAATATTACCTTCTGCAGATAAATGATGAAACGGACCATCAAATTTTGGTTTATAATATTTAATAAATTCAAGTAACCTCTGTTCGTCATTTGCCTGATAAGGGTATTGTCCGGATATTCTAAATAGAAGGAATATTGTAGAATGATTCTATTGTAACGTTTCTTTATACATACAAATAATACATGATGACACCAAGTGCCCATACGTCACAAAGAGCACTATAATTTTTGTTTTCAAGTATTTCAGGAGCCATATATCTTGAGGGAAAACCCAAACTAATATAATATGATATAAATTAAACGTTTCTAAATGCTTACAATGGGGTTCCACAATATTCATTGAAGAGCGTATCCGTTCCTATAATACTCTTTTTGGAGCTTAAACCAAAGTCTGTTATCTAAAAAACCAAAAGACACTTTTTATGATATATTTTGACTATTTTCTATGTATATCTATCTACTTTGATATCAAATTCATCGGTTTTTGTTGCTACAGGTTTTTTCAACAAAATATTCTCTAATTTTAAATCACGATGAACAATATCTGTAAGAAAAAACGATCTGAATTATCTCTAAAACTACAATTTGAGTAACATGGTTTTTATGCGTTTTTCTCCGATTTATTGGTATATTAGTCTTACCCATTTTATGTAAATAATTAAGTGCATTGACTAGTTTCGACATAATTTTTTTTACTGTTTCTTCAGATAATGCACCATTTTCCCTTACAAAGGCACCTAATTCACCTCCTTCACATAGCTCAATGATCAGATATAGATTCTAAAATATAATAAATAAACTTTAATTTTATTATCCATCATCAATGCTGTAAGTTACTTGTGATGATTCTAACACTTCTTCGAGTCGTATCAAATTTGGATGATTCACTTCTTTCGATAAGTTTACTTCATTATCTAGACTAGTAACTTTTGATTTATTACCAGGCTAAATAGAAAGAGAGAATAACCAATATATATTTAAATGAATGTTTAGTTATTCACCTTCTTGACAATCGTTTTCATTGCGTAAAATAAATTACTTTCTTTGTTTTTCACTCTGAAAACTGTTCCAAAGCTACCTTCGCCTAATTTATCCATTAATTCATATTTATTCCATAATGTTGCATCATCATACAATCGTACATGTTGAATCGATCGTGTTGATAATAATTGATGATTATGTTTATAATGAGGTCCTTTTGCCATTCCTCATGTTCCTCGTGGATAATGAGGAGAGAACAAAAACATAACTATCATTAAAAAGAATAGGAACCAAGTGATAAATAGAAGATGAGAAAAAGTTATATATATATATATACCTTATGCCTGAACCATGACTAAATGTTCTCAGCCAGAACATTCATATAGATTCAGTGTTTTCTAAATAAACAGAGTATGATTTTATTTTGTAAGTCAATAATATAATTTGATTAAAGTTACACAAGTGCTTTTCAACAAGACAAATATGTTCGAAAATAAAAGTAACTTTGTATACATAAACAAGAGAGAAATATTTACTAATCGTTAGCATCTGCAAAACAAAAACTGGTCTCAAAGACTTTGAAGCTCTAAATATCCTACTTTACAGCAAAGTCGATAAGCTTCAAAATGATATATAACAGAAAAACGTATCCTTCTTTGTTTGGAAAAAAGAGGGCTATCTACCATGGTGTGTACCCAGGTCAAATAATCCTACCGTAGGATTCTACTTTAGGATCCTGTAAGGTCGTACGAAAATCTTGTAGAATCTTGTAGGAAAACCTCAAAGTCAAAAAATTCTACTGTAAGATTCTTATAGGATCCTGTCGTCAGATCTTGTAGAATCATGCAAGGTCCTACAGGATCCTATTATAGTATTGCAGTAGGATTTTATCTACTTTTCTGCTGGTTTATCCTACTAGGTTTATTGTTTTTATTTGTTTAATTATTCTCTGATCCCAGCTAGCCAGAATCAGGTGTTTCTGAGCTGGAACAAGCGCAAGACTTATGAGTACTGATTCACACGTCGAACAGTAGCGAGTTTCGATGGCTCATAGTGTTCGGTGCAAAGATTTACTTAAAAAAATTTTTAACTTTTTACAATAGAGTTGTATTTTATATTAGAGCTACTGCAAAACACATCAGTGATGGTGTTCTCGTATAGAAAAAGAAAAGAAAATATATACGATAAAAAAAATAGAACAAAAAATAGGAGTCTTACAACATCCTACACAAAATCTTACCACAGGATCTTGTGTGACATGCATAAGATTTTTATTACAGGAATCCTATAGGATTTTCCCTACCATCCTATATCAAGAATCCTACAGAATTCCTGCTGTAGGATTTCATAGAATCCTACATTATGAAAAAGCAAAAGAATGATACTAGTGCAACGCCACCTGATACGAAAATTTCAAGTAGTTTAAACTAATGCCCAGAGTAACTAATACGCTAATGCATTGGACACATGGCAATTATAATCTTTACTGTTTTAATTTAGAACCTATAGCCAGTTGGACTTACAAGGAGATATTTAGCTCCATGCGTGATGACTTTAATAATGATGATCAATCACAAGATGATTTTATAACAAATTTAATTAATCCAGTGAGCATTCACTTTGACAATTGTGAAACAATATTTTGTGTCACATCTGTTTAGATAATCACCACTTTCGATTTCTGTAGGCTAGTGGCTTTATTGATGATTCTTATTCTAAACGAATTTTCGTATCGATCGGTGCACAAGGACATGCTTGCATCTGTATTAACAGATAATCGTCACTTTCGCATGTCAAATTTTCTTTTCGTGTATTTTTATTTTTGCATTAAAACCCAGGCCAAACAGAACGGTACGTTAACGGCGTATAAACGGTACATTAACGGTCATCATAAAAACGGTCCGTTAACGGTATAAAAACACGCCGTTTTACGGTCATTGTTAATGTACGGCGTGAAAACAGCCCCGAAAGCTACGTTACGAAAACGATATTTAAACGGTCACCGTAATTATCACATAATATGTGATAATATCCATATCCTATTATATATTCTTTCATGTTTCTATCCGCATTCTCTTTTTTGAATGTGACGTATAGAAACACCTGAGTAGATGTGTATGTATTCTATATACACACGTGTATTCTATATAACAATGTTTTTAAAAAGAGAAAGAATGACCGTTGTATAATATATAGACTAGAGACTAATATATAGACCTTTCTCTTTACACAGAAAACTCCGAGAAAACACGAAAAAAATATAATTTCAACCGACCAGCGGCATATATTATGTACACTAGCGGCACACTAATTAGTGTAATTCTAGATTTTTGTGTTGATAATGGCTATAACTGGTCAAAAATTCTCCGAAATAGCTGCAGTTAATACGTCTGAATACCGAACTAGGTTACGCAGATAAAATAGAGTTTACCTCATTGCTCTGAAGTAGTATCGATCGATTTTGAGTCAGATATGAATTCTTTGATTATTTGTGACAATATCCACAACTGGACTATTGCATATAATATAGCGTATTACTGGGTTTTTGAATTATCTTCGGAAAACAAACATCGTCACGAGAGTCAGCGTGGTCGATAAAAAAGGTTTTTCGATTCAAATGTCTGAGTAGAATACAGTTTTTTGATACTTTCCATAGGTTCATAGACTATGGCGGATCTGATGAACATGTGCGCGAATATGTATGGAATTACCATCGTTCAACGTGATTTTTGGAAAATGCCATGTACCGTTTATATCGCATTTGCTTGATGTTTTGAAAATGAAAGATTTGTAACAATGGTTAATAAATCAGCATGATAATATTAACAGATGTTTGTATCTCCTTTTTTAAGGTTTATTACCATCATCAAAAAAGGTTTTAGTAGGGGGTTTTTGACCTCTACGATACCCTTCTTTTGCAGCATTTTACCAAACCATAACGGGCATCTGATTGTGACACTTTTATAAACCGTTTTAGGCTTTGTACACGACGCTTTTTTTACAGTGCTCGGTTAGTAAGAATCATTCAAACTTGCGAAATGTCTAATTTTGTAGACAATGTTTGTTCGATGCATTTGTTGAAAAAAAAATGTTTAAAGGTAATTTTGACTAAAATATGAGCATTCTTAAATGTCATAAGTATACGTGGTAACTGATCGTCAGTTATATAACTATTCGTATATCTTCAATATTCGTTAAAAACGCTTCTCCTTTTCAACCTTTAATTTTATCTTTCATGCAGACACAAAGAATAAGTATTTGTCCACAAAATGAGACGTTCCGCAAGTCTGAGCGATTCTTAATAAATGCGTTATAATCATTTTCCTGGATGCTCCAGGAAACAGTCGGAAATAACTGGTCCGTAACTGGTATATATCTATACTAATGTCAAACATTTTTGCTCAGGTTCGAGTTACTAAGATATGAACAGATCTGTGATACATATATTTACTGCTGTTGTAGATTACATCAATCACTTTAAAGGTCAAGAGAGGCACCGTGGATATTTTGCATGTTTGTATGACATATATAGAACTTTAGAAGTTATTCATTTCGAATGGAAGAGCAAAAAATGTACATTTATACGAAAATTTTCGGCAAATTTTGCACTGGGATTTGCTGATAAGGATGAAGGGCAAGCACAATTTTAGACGGTGTCCATCTTTAACCACGTAGCACTTCAGCTTTCCGTCAACTTAAACCACCGAATATGAAGCTTTCTATATTTCATTTCGTTACCATCTTATACTCAAGAACAGTTTCCATTGTAATATTCATTTGTTTGTTAAATACTTGAGCGTGCTAACTGAAATTGAGTAGAAATCAAGTTTTAAATTGAATAGATAAGTTCCGATACATTTTGAATAATTGAAACCACAGAAAAGATGCAGATTCGCGAGTTAAATCACGAGTCGAGTTTTGTTGATTATAAAAGCTGAATGACTAGATTTGTTTCTCAACCAGATCGATGTTGTTTTTGACCAACTTGATGAGCTGTTCCCGTTCACTGAATATTCCGATTATTTTTGAGTATAAGTTATTCAAACAATGGCCAATATCTTTATCATTATGTTCAACGAGTTTCACAGGATTACAATAGGCCATACGTACAGAAGACTGCCACTGTTTTGATTCCACAGCTGAAAGATCGTTGTCAGTAATAAGATTAGTCAAGAACTATTTTAGAAATAGAACCAGCAATAAATGACTGGTTTTTCAACTATCTACAGCAGATAATGGTATTTGAAGATTTTCTGGTAAAAAGACGGGAACTCTTTTTATGTTTTTATTATAAATAAAAAGATTAAACGTCTGAAAATGTAAAACAAGTGAATGAAGAAAATTAATAATTATGCAGTATCAAATGACTGTTCACCATTTAAGGATGTTAAATTTTTAAGTGTGATCGAGTTTATTTGAGTCTTGAGGCGACGAACATTAAACTTTTTCATTCCACCTTTCTCAAAAAAGATTGAAAATGAGAGTCATGATGATGAGGATGGTGAGTGGAAAAAAGGAATGCTTGTTGTTGTTTGATGTTTCCGTACTATATCGCAGTAAAAGGGTTTATCAGCTCAGATCTTCAGTTTAACATAACTCCTCCACTCAAATTCGATCAGCTATGGTGAGATCTGGATGCTATGTATTGACACTGAATATGTCATAAAAAGGAAAAGATGAGTGTGTGTGTGTGTAGACTGCGTTAGTATTTCAGAAATTTTATTGTAATACGTTGGTTCCTATAACCTAAATCTAAAAGGAAGTCTGAAGTTGACTGCCTATTAGTTTCTTACTTTATAATGTCACAATTATGTGTTCTCAGTATCAATAATCATTTCAATTACGAACCGTTTGAAGTAAGAAATTATTCTTTTTAATCTTCTTTTTATCAGTACATTCTATATACACACCACACAGATTTTTTATGAGATTTATGATTAAACATCGATGCCGGCGAAACACCGATGGTTAATTTTACGTCGCCGCTACAGACAGCTAAAATTTTTAATGTTTCACGCTTAACTCTGTTGAAAGGAAGATTTCACACGCCATCACCAATAAAAAAACCTTTTGCTCCTTTCGAAGTGCCCGAAAATTTTTAATTGAGATAGACAAGGCCGCCGCTGTCGCCAACCATCTTTTACCAGTGTAGATTTCTTCGTTTGTTGATAAAGCTATTTTACATAATTCGTAGTATCCATCGATGCATCCGAGTCAAAAAATTTCTTTGGTATACTTATTAAATAGCGAACCTTGAGTAATAAACCACCCGTGGCCAAGTTCAGACTGTACTTTATTAAATCAAAACAAATTTCAAGCTGTTATTATTACTTTTCTATTCATATTTAAATCATTCTCCATTGACAGAAGAAATCACCCTGATGCGTACAATTAGTTGTATTTTTGCCAAAAGAGAAATAGCAAAAAACAAATAAAAATATGCAATTCTTTTCCTCTATAGTCAATAACATATAAACACTCATCGACTTTCTTGTCGATGTTCTTACAAGATTCTCGTCTCTTGTCATTTCAATCGAGAATCTTTGGATTATACATGTATTTTTATCTCAAGATTCTTGGCTGAAATCTGTTTTGTGATTTCATGCAAGAATCTTGTCTTGTAATTGTTAAAAGTATCTTGCAAACAGAAAGCGTAAACGATTCACGTAGACGTTACTTTTCTATGTTTTAGAATTCATCGTGTATAGACTGTTTTTGTTGTTCTGTTGTTTTCTTTCTTCTAATTGAAAAAATAAGAACAAAACTCCCAGCTACTCTTTTAAAAAAAAGGTAGACTAGAGAACCTTAGAAAAAAGAGCTTTTATGAGAGAGAAAGATTTTTGAAAATGATTTCTTTAAACGACCCTCGAAAATTCTTTCGATATTTTAGTAAACTATTAGGGCAGCTGCTTTGAAAAACTTATTTCTGTTTTTCAGATATACCGAAACTAAAACGTGTAATAACGTCCACACATAACGGGTGGTTCAGATTAAACTGCCGGCCTTTACAAGGCTTTTTTCTCAGGTTAAGGTTGATCAAAAAATTTCGTTTGGATTCTAAAAGACAGAGAATTTTGCCTAGATTTTAGTCATATATTTCTGTTGAAATAAATATATGTCGATTTTCTACAGCATTAGAAATTCTGAAACACATAAAAAGCAGAGTTGCTCAGCACTTTGTATAGAATAAAGTATAATTTTTAGTATTCAACCAAGTTTTGTTGCACAATTTAAACAAGACATTAAAAACTACAATAAAGTCTTAATATTTCAGATACCAAACTAAATTTTGGGACGACCACAGACAGTAAACTCATGAAAAGAATGACATCTGCTAGACTTTGAAATTCTGCATCTGCTCATATTGAAAAAATAATTTTTGTTCTTCAATTTTTGCAAAACACAAACAAAAATTTCATTGATCAAAGTTGTTTTTCAATGTTTAAAATAGTCGAAAGTAGAAACAAATAAATCTATAGGAACGAACATACTTTTAGATATACACCGAGAAATTCTGTATCTTTTATTATTATAACCAAATGTTAACACTTATCTAACTGAACTCAAAACTTTCTGATTGTTCAGTTAAGCAACTCTACTTTTTATGTGTTTCAGAATTTCTAATACTGTAGAAAAACGACAAATATATATGTCAACAGAAATATATGGAGACAAAATTCTCTATCTTTTAGAATCCAAACGAAATTTTTTGATCAAGTTTAATCTGAGAAAAAAGCTTTGCAAAATTCAACATTTTAATCTAGACCACTCGTTATGTCAAAAAAAAATAAGGATACATGTTATATGTCGTCATATTTAGCTTATTTATAAATAATGAACAAAAACTGAGAATTTCACAACATAAACAACCACAAGACGGGAGTTGAATTATTCACTCGATTTTCGAGAGAAAACGGAATAGTCGCATATTTTCAAAATTCTAAAGTATAGTCTCGCCATCAATTTGGACGTTTTGAGATTTCTTCTTTATAAAATTTGATAAAACTACATAATACACGCACAACAAGTTACTAAAATAAATAAATAACAGAATAAACAATGAGCTAGTATAAGAAAAGAGTGTCTGAAACATGATGAGTAATACTAAATAGAAACAATTATTTCGTGACGAAAGTCGATCACAAAAAAGCGAGATTTAATTACCTAAATGAGAAAAACAGCTTGATTGAAAATATTAAAAAAAAATAAAAACGTTATAATTATTGTTCATTTTTAACTATGAATTTATCTTCCATAAATATAAGTAAGTTCTTTGAGTTTCTCTTTAGCCTCCTGTGTTAAATATTCCCATTTAAAACGCCATAACCAATTTTTTTCATGTCCAGATGGATCGTTTAAACGTGCATCATTTTCTAACGAGCATACATCTTGAATTGGTAGAACGGCTGTATCTGCTACAGATGAGAGTGTCAATCGAATTAAATCCCAATTGACCGTTTTCTCTACTTCGGCACAATCTTTTTGCAAATAATTGACAAGTGTCTTTCGTTCATATTCATTAGCTCCACATTTGAACCATTTGATTGCAGTATCATTATCGTGTGTACCTAGACAAAAAAAAGAGATAAACAAAAATTGTTATTTCTAATACGTTAAGTCTTCTTTCTAGACGGTCTCACCGGTGTATGCTACACAATCGGTAACATAATGATGTGGAAGATAAATATTAATTTTTGGACCTAATTCGAATGCAAATTGTAATACTCGCATGCCAACAATATTATATTTATCTCTCAAATCAAATACTTCTTGTGTCAAATAACCAAGATCTTCAGCTATTAACGGTAAATTTCCACCTAGAGCTGTTGAAGTTGCATGTAAAAATTCATCGCCACGCCCTTTTATCCATTTACCACTTTTTGGATGAACTGCTACACCAGTTTTAGGATCAATCGGTATAGCCCAATAGGCTTCTAATCCACGAAAATGATCTATTCGAAGAATATCAACTGTTGTCAATGCTTTTTTCACACGCCCTACCCACCATTTATAATTTGTCTTTTTTAAACCGCCATCCCAATCGTACAATGGATTATTCCACAATTGTCCTTCAGCGCTAAATCCATCGGGTGGCGCACCTATAACAAGAAATTTTAATAAAATTAAAAATTATTAATCAATATTTTTCATACCTGAGACAGCATTTGGTAGACTTGTCTTTGGATCTAATTGAAATAACTCTTGATTAGCCCATACATCAGCGCTATCAAGATCAACATATCTAAAACGAAGAGAAAGTCATTATTTATTTAGAATAAGAGAAATTAACTATCTGACTTACACGGCCATATCACCAATGATCTTGATGCCTAAGTTATTTGTATATTTTCTCAATTCAGCCCATTGTTTAAAAAATATATATTGAAGAAATTTATAATACATTATTAAATCAGCATTGTCTTTTCTAACTTTTTCTAATGTTGCTTCATCACGCGTTTTCAATTTTGTATCCCACGTTGTCCAACTAGTCTTTTTATTTATATGTCTTATTGCCATATATAATGTATAATCATCAATCCATTCTGTTTCGTCTTTACAAAAATTTTCAAATTCTTTCTGTTGACTTTTATCATTTTTCTTCTTAAAATTTTCATATGCATGTTTTAACAGTCCATATTTATAATCATAAACTTTGTCAAAATCTAAATAACTGGTATTAAACTTTGGAATATCCTTCAAATCATCATTTGTAAGTAGACCATCATCTTCAGCAAGTTTTTCTAAACTAATCAATAATGGATGTCCAGCAAATGCTGATGTTCCTGAAATACATTAAGAAAAAAAATTCAAAAATAGTTGGTATAGAATTAACAAATGAGAAGAAAAAACTCACCACTGTATGGATTTGCTTTATCCGATGCATTTAATGGTAATATTTGCCATGATTTTTGTTGACATTCATGTAAAATATCGACAAACTTGTATGCTTCCGGTCCTAAGATATACAAGGATAACAAATAAAAAGAAGAACACGATAGGAGACTAAAGTGCACAAACGTTATTAAGAAAATTATTTATTTCTAATAGGTCAGAGATCTTTACTTACCGACGTCTCCAATTCCAAACTTATTCGGAAGACATTGTACATGAAGTAAGAGGCCTGAAGTTCGTTCGTACTTCATTGTTGTTAAAAATAATCAAATCTAAAAAGAATGGTAAATATTTCGAGTATTTATGTTTTTCTGAATTATATATTTTTTCGTTCTATTTATAATCAATCATGTTTTTAAAATGAAACACTTCAAATGCGCGTATACCACAGAGTGCAAGCACGAGGCATTTTTTCTCGAAGAGCAATTTTCAGTTAATATAACGTGAGGTCTTAATTTGATCAGAGAAAAATTATACTAAAAAGTTCAAGAGCAACAATGGTTTGGTTACGTAATCAGAAATAAAAACATGGTAAAATGCATCAACAAGTGTAATTATTCAAATCTCATGCTAGACAACCTCTAAAAGGTACATTTTCCTCTGATGAGAACGTTTTTTCATCAAGCAAATTTCTCACCAACTATCGTCTCTGGGGTTAATCACGTTATCGGCTAGAGAAAAAAAGGGTTAGTGCAGGCTGCAAAAAAGTTTACAAATAAACGAGAAAAGGAGAAAGAAAGAAAGATTACACACTCTGAGATGACAAAGGAAGCGTAGAAAAATAGAACGTTTGCGAATAATTTTTCTTTTCTTCTGCCTTCTTCGTGAAGCACGTTTCGTTGCACGTGTTTTACTTATGGAAAAGTATATTTAAGTAAGACTGAATATTAGTACTCTAGCTATTCAGTTTCAACAACGATCGACGCAGAATTTCAATCATTTAACAAATTTCTGGTTCTAAGAATATAACGCGTACCAAATTCGAAGTTTAAGTACTACGTTATTTTTGCGACAAATTTGTTTTCCGAGTTCAGCGTAAGAAACTAGATCTGCAAATGTTATTTGGAGTCCGGTCACAGATAACGTGTCCAAAATGGAATCTCATGTTCAACGAGGATCTGAAGCGTGCGAACAAATTTTGGCAAACTATCTAGTTTATTTCTATCAAGAGATGTAAGCTTGATTTATATCACGTTCGATTCGCCTTTACGTAAGCAAAAAAAGTATGCATCGCTTTTTTTAAAATTCTTTTCCGTTCAAATAAGTTAGAAAAACATTTCAAAATAAAAAAAACGTTATTACAAAATACTGAAAAACTCTTAATTTGCATGAGAAAAGTTTTTTTCCTAAATCAGAGGTGAAAACGTCAGAATTCTGCTCGTAATTCTCAATTTTCTCCATTAGAACTCAACTTTTATGCAATAAAAATATCATATTCGGAATCAGAAGCCAAAACTGAGTCGACTAATGTGTATTGCGAAAATTTTCCCGATAATTTTTCAACGTGAAAATTCGAAAAAAATGAAAGTAGTCGGATAGGCTAGAAAAACACATTAATCGATTCAGTTTTTGATTCTGATTTCGAACATGATCTTTTTATTGCATAAAAGTTGAGTTGAGAACGGAGAAAATTGAGAATTACGAGCAGTATTCTGACTTTTCGCCTCCAATTTAGAAAAAATTAATTTTCTCAGCAACGGAGAGGAATTTCAAAAAAAGCATACATGCGTTTTTTGCTTACGTTATTTAATCAGTTAATGATATCAATATCCAGAGGCTGTATGGTGAAGATCACAAAAACAAGGTTATGATTGCTTGCGTAAAGACGAATCGAACGTAATATAAATCAAGCTTACATCTCTTAAGGGGGCCCCTCCCCTCAGGAATTCGCTGTTTTCTTCGAAACCTTCGAAACTGAAGTAACCATACGGTTCAGTATCCCAAAGTGTCATCTTTCAGAATCCATCTTAGTTTGCCAAAAATTCAATGTTTTTGGAGGTTTTTGAAAAAGATTTCTGAAAGCCCTAAAAAATCACCCTTTTCTAAATGTCACATTTTAATTAAGATTTTTAAGGTTGTCCGTTTTAACAGACATGGAGCTATGTTGAGCAGAGTGTTCTGATCAGAATGAGATGTTCAGCAGGTTTGTACGACTTCGTCTTGCAGAGTTATCCTAGTTTTGTTAAAGACGCTGAACTACAATTAATGAACTGATGACGTCATTGTTTAGAACATGGTTTTAGCGGTGTAATGTTGTATTAACTCTTCGATGATTCATCGTAAAACCTTCATTTTTTTTTTATTTTGAAACTAAGACATTTATCTAAAGTTTGATCCACGGCGATTTTTGATTTCTGTTTTCTGTACAGAGATAAGTGGCAAATACTCTGCCGAATTAGGGTTATTTTCAGAGATCTGACTTAAAATACGTGTAGGGAATGAATGGAAGCGAAATTCAAAAATCGCCGCGGACTAAATTTTAGATATAGGTGTTTACTTTCATTTGAGGCCACTCGCAGCTTTCTGCATCTTCCAACAAGAAAACCTTTACGCTTTTGCTGAGAGCCCCATTTTGCCCTTTGTCACGCAATAACTCGGCAGCACTTCAACCTCGAATTTTTAACATAAGCTCGCTGGACTGTAAGCATTAGTCACTGAAAGCGCCATCGAAATCGGATGTAAGATAAAAAAGTTTTTTCCTGAAAGGGGGTCCTCTTAATAGAAAAAAATTAAATAGTTTGCCACACTTTCTTCACTCACTTTTGATCCTCGTTGAACATGAGATTTCATTCTGGACACGTTATCTGTGACCAGACTCCAAATAACATTTCCAGATCCAGTTTCTTATGCCAAATTCGGAAAACAAATTTGTGGCTTTTGAAAATGGAACAGGAAAAAAGTATTCGATATTTTTCACAACCTAACAGTTTTATGAAATTCTAGAGCCTTCCAGTATTTTGAATTCAAAATCCAGGCTTTTTAAAATCTGGATATTCTTGGCCAGCTCAACAAGCTCTATCGAACCATATAGTCAAAAATAAAGTAGTACTAAACTTCGAATTTGGTGCGCCCTACATATCAGCTTCAATTTTTCATCCGAATCATACGATATGGTCATACGCTGAAACTGGATTCTTGGGACTGTGCCACTCATCTTTTTTGTTGTTCTTCTCTTTGTTATTCGATAAAACTGTAGAAGGAAAGAGAGAAGGCCAATACCACGCTTGATCTTTAGTCCCAGTGTACTAGAACCTACTGACAGAAATATAGCTGAAATGGACAAACACATAAAGCCACATTCACACGCATATTTTAATTTTGTTTCTTGTGGTTCTAAGTAACGTTACTACATATTAACTGTACATGAAACATCGACCAGAAACGAAATTGAGATAAGCTGGGATGTGCAATACAAACAATGTTGAAAACATGTACCCAAAGTCACCTCCAGGAGTAAAAAGCAGGAGCGGGGTCGAAATTTGGGAGTAAATTCCCATTTTTTTCAGACAATGGTAGTAGAACGTAGAGCATGTATGTAAGATTACACGTATGTTATATGCCTAAGATACAGTAAAAAGTAAAGCAGCCCTGATCAATAGAAATCTATCAAATAAGGTCCCTTCTTTTTATTTCTTGATGCTGCCTGCATGCATACGGCGTGGATTCTAGCAGAAAGAAAGAAGAAAATACAGTTATGAAATATTCCTTTTATATTTCTTTCAAGTGTAAAACACAAAAGACCGAGTTCTATTATTTTGCTCTGACGTTCTTTTAGAATGGCGAACAGACTGAAAAAGAACGATAAAAAGTAGAACAATGCACAATCCACAATATTTCATATCGCGAGATTCATCCAAGGATATTTTGCTATGTTGTGAGCAAAATCTCAGCGAAACTCTTGCATTGTCCTACTACATCAGAATCTGATTGATATATTCGAACATTCTGATATAATTTAGCACGATTGTGAGACATATTGAGAGTTTCGCTAAGATTATGCTTCTAATGTACCGGAATATCCCGAAATGAATCTCTCGATATGGGATATTGTGAATCGTGCTTTTTATCGCAATTGTTTTTTCCACTGTACTTTACACACACATTTGCCAAGAAGTGAAAACACTAGAGTCATCTTATATGATACATCCCAAGCTGCGAAAACGAAATAAGCACGAAAATATATCTGGAAATTGTTTTCTTTCAAAAAAAAAATAAACTCTGTCACATATTTCTTGTGTTACTGTTTACTCTGAGATCGAGAGTAAACATACTCTCTCACACTTCTGTCCGAATAAAGAGAAAAGAAGTATTGAGTGATTACTTGGAAATCGAGCGAAGAGAAAGTACACCATCGTTCTTCTGTGTCTGAATGTTTTTTGTCTCTAAAGTCGGAATAAACTGTGAATAAAATAAAATACTCGTAGTAAAACTTTTAAGAATCAGGAGGGGAATTCCTCCCGTCCTTCGCCGTTCAGGATGGCCCTGACTATGACGTCAAAAAACGTTGCAATACAGCACTTTGGATTGTAACGTTATTAGCATTTCATTAATCAAATTTAACGTATAAATATCCATCTGGAAAATCTCAGATAACATACCTGAAATATTGCATGATCACGTTCGTAGCACACGGACTAGTCCGTACACTCTTATCATCAAATTTCTTTATATGCAGATATTGGCTTTTTTGCAAAAATTTATAATTACGTGTTTTTTTATTCGTTTTTTTCACAAACTCACGTAAAAGGAAGTAAAAGACATCGCTTTTATTACTTGAAAATATTTTTGGGTGACCCGACTTGACTGACTTGGAGAAATTTTTCGCTCACTCGACTTGATACTTGGAAAAGCTCGGTCTTGTCCAGCTCCAACGATGATTTAGAATGCCAAGGTTCTTTGAAATGAATTCCAGTGTCAACATCATGATCTAACCCCACTGAGACAGATTCATTGTGCTTTGTCACAAAGCATTCATGCTGTAACAATCTCCCTTTATCTAATGCAATAAGTTTTATGATTGAAAATTCTTTATATACCAAGAGAAGGATGTACTGGGCTTCCCATTTGTGGAACACGGTACTACTGCTTTACTTGTGAAGGAAGCATTTTTTAAAGCTCATAAATTAAAACTAACTTGGAAACGTATATTTTGATCCTTTCTAACATAATGTCGCTGCCTAATTTCCTTCCAGATTTATTTCGCACGAGTTTTTCGTCGTTGGTCTTTGGACTGTAGAAATGTGAACGGATGACTTCACACAAGGTTTATGACTCATCCGTTGCCAATATGACATCTGTTCCAATTAAATAACAAATAAATATCGAGATATATATGACACTGAAAAAAATCACCTTCAATATATTTTTATCACTTTGCTTATAATCTCACTTTCATAAATAATTTTCAAACTTATTTCTTGTTCTATTGTTCTTGTACTGATCACAAGCGACATCTACAGGTGCGCTCAAAATTATCTGTATAGTAGTCTCGGCGCGATTCCTTTTTTTTGACTATTACCCTTATCATTATCCATTCAAGTCTACTATTTTTCCAAGAGAGGGACTATTTCTTTTGGACGGTCGCCGAGGCAGTGCCCTTTCGCCCTCACGTAGATCCGCCACTGTTTCTGACGGTGATTAATTAATTACTAAAAGATGATGATCCATGGCTTACCCAAAAAAAACTCGCTTCCTTTCGTCTGTCAATTACACGCGTTGAGAGAGGCGACATTTTCGCGTTAAGTTACAAATCGGCGTTAAGTTGAGCGATTGTTGTTAACATACGTGCAAGGATTCTTTTTAAATATATTAGAAAAATACGTTATTTCAAAATTGTTTTGTGAATATCTGCCTCAACACTTTCTATAGAAACATCCAAGCACAATGGCGTCCTTGAATGGCGGTAATGATGGCTTCCATTATTGTTGATATTAGTGCCTCTAGATTTTTTACACAGAAAGCAACTCACAATACGAAGCGTTTTTATAAGCGAAAACACTTATTATATCGTTGATCTAGGCAAACTATTCATTATAGGAGTAATTGTCTAGAATAACAGAAACCATACTCTAACCCCATCACTATTCTCCAATTGTAGGGTATGAGTCATTGGATGTAGGACACCGACTATGAGAAGATTTTGAAAATTTTTCCAAAAACCAGTGTGAGTTATAGACCAGGCGTCGAAGCAAAAAAAGATGATGAACAGCCTTTGTACCGAAGTTGCGCCAGAGCTGGGCAAGTACGGGATTTCTCAAGTACGAGTCGAGTACGAGTACCAATGCTTCGAGTACGAGTCGAGTACGAGTACCGAGCCTTCGAGTATGAGACGAGTACAAGTACAAGCACCAATTTTTTAAATACAGATACCATTGAACCATTGAGGCATTCGAAATGTGGACATGGAGAAACATGGAGAGGATCAGCTGGCAAGAGCACAAGACGAACGAATATGTGCTGGCGAGAGCGGGTGAAAGTCGGAGGATTTTGGACGTCATCTTGCAAAGGAAAAAAAATTGGATCGGACACATTCTAAGAGGTGAAAGCCTGGTGAGAGAGGTCCTGGAGGGCAGATTCTACGGAAAGCGTGGAAGAGGCAGGCCGCGTGCTATGTTATTGGATGATATTATAAACGAGGACTCGTATGCGGACATCAAACGAAGAGCTATGGAAAGACAGAAATGGAGAACATGGGTGCCTAGAACCTGCCCTCGAGCAGAACACCAATGATGATGACCATTGAACCAGGTATGACTATGAATGTCTAAAATAATTTGTGGGAAAAAAAGTCCTATTTAGTTATTCTCTTAATTAGTCTCTTATTATTTGATATATAGGTCAGAACAAAATATTGACAAAGCGAAATGTTAAAGCATTTTTTTAATTTATTGTATTATCAACCTTCAAGTAAATGGAATCAAAGTAAAACTTTGTTACATTTTAGAAAAGTTAGTAGACACACATTCTTTGCCGTTAATGATGCTCGATGTGGCCTCATCAGAAAACCACTTTGCGAGAAAACGCGTTCGATAGAAGCCGATGTCGCAGGCACCGTTAGATATTTTAGAGGAAGTTGATATAATCCTGGATAGATGTGCTTTTTAGAAAAAAGTAAATCTTCTTCACGACTTTCTTCGCATAAATAACACATACTTCATCTGGAATTTCAAATATTAGATTATCGAGTACTGACCACCTCGAGTACAAGTACGAGTACTTAGAGTATTTTGCTCAGCTCTGAGTTGCGCCATGACTTGAACACTATATCATGTCACGATTGTAAGAGGAGAACACAATCGCGACGTGTGTTGAGTGAATGTAACGAGACCTCGGGGTGGAAACTGCGTTCGCGCGCAAACGAAGCAAGAAAGTTGACTTGGGTGAGGTTCAAAAAAGTGGAACTTTACAGCGAGCTGTTGCGAGAGATTCTTAATTTTTAAGAAGTATAACAAAATCGCTTCGAGAGACTTGTAGTAAATCACGGTGCGAAAACAGGAAAAAGGCGCGGTCGCGCCGCGGTTTTTAAACTTACTCAAAAATGTTATCTTAATGCTATAGCGATCGCGGCGAACGCCCTTGCGGCAAGGGCGTTCGTGACGTGAGTGAAGCAAGAAAGTGGACTTGGATGGGCTTCTCACCAAACTATTCCTCCGCATGTCTACTATATCTGTGTAAAAAGATCCATTTGAAATTCCAAGTGGTTTTAGTTTCTGAAACAAAACTAAAAATTTGGGCTTTTTAAGTGGGCTAAAATTATCCGTACAGCAGTACAGAAATTCTTTGCTTTTTCTTGAAGATGTGCTGATAGTGTTTGACAATTGGCTTTCTTAGCAGCATGTTAGAAACAAAAATTTGAAAGCTGCAGTTCTGGCCATGAATAATATGTTAATAAAAGAGCACAAGACATGCGTGCATTTTTAAGTATTTATTATGATTTCTACAGGATGCATCGACCGAACGATATAAACCCAGAACAATTATATTTCACACATACTGGCGTATGACTTATTCGTCAGTTGGTAAAATAAATTACCATCTAATCGGGTGAACATAGTGCAGCCAAACTTGAAAAACCATATGCATTGGAATTGTATCAATTATATCAAATAAAAAGACTTATCATCGGCAATTGTGACTGAGAACACCTATCGTTCTGATACTTTAGACAAGCGTTAAAAAGTATTTTTTAGTACAGTATCTTCAAATACCCGATAATGTACCATGGAGATCATTTCCATGTGTGTCATGAATATAAACTTCATATGACGTTCTAGAACTATACAATCGTTTCGAACTTCCTTTTGACAAATATGACGTTCATACAGTAACTCTAGTGTAGAAATGTCATATCAAAATAAAAACAAAAAAAATTGTCGATTCCGTTTTCTTTTTCCATGTGTAAAGTGCTTTTAAATTGTTTTTTCTATTAATAATCTAAGATTAAATGGCATCAGTAGCAATCAAATACGTTGAGAAAAAAGGTGAACTTTGGTCAAAGGATCGAGAACCATTTCATGGCGATATCGTTCAAGGTCGACTAGGCAATTGTTTTTTTTATTGCGGCAGTGCAAGCAATAGTCTCGTCTCAACCAAATGTTTTAAAATCGATTGTCATATCAGAATTAAATGATAATCAATATCGATGTATTTTCTATCGACAAGGTGAACAAATTGAAATTGATGTTGATCTCACAAATGTACCAGTTGATACGAATTCAAATATTCCATTGTATTGTCGATCAACATCGGAAAATATCGTATGGCCGTATGTGTTTGAAAAAGCTTATTCTCAATTCTATGGTTCATACGACAATTTAATCGGTGGTAATACATCTGAAGCCTTTTATGATTTATTAGGTTTACCAGTTGATGAATACGAACCAGTCGATGCAATATGAAACGTCATATCAAATTGTCTAAGAAATAAAGAGGGCTTTGTTACTTGTGGTGCAATTGATAACACTATTCAAGTGCCAACAATTCGTAATGGTTTTCGAATCAATCATGCCTATGTCATACTAACCACGTATATTTTTCAAACTCAACGTTATTTGTTGATACATAATCCACAAGGTATAAATGATATTCAACAAGAAAATAGGCTAGTAAGAAAAGCATTTTTTACATCATCATCATCGTACTTATTATGGGAAAATCAACAAGGCACACAATTTCTAGCATGGAAAGATTTATCGAAAATATATAATCGGATACAAATTTGTTACTGTACAGCCAAGTCGATTTATAACAAACCTCTGTTCGCACAATGGACACAATCATCTTCAGGTGGATGCTCTAACTTATATTCATTCTATTTGAATCCATTCATATTGATCCCTCACGAACTAAAAGGAAAAATGCTAACCATCTTGATCGGACAAAATGATCAACGATGTGAACGTACAAATCCATTGCAAAAACTAAATTATCCACAACTTGGTATCACTGTTGTCAAATTTCAAAAACAAGAACATCCTGAAGACGAAAGAACATTTATTCTACGCAAGATCGATATGGATTGATTAAACAATCAAAATATTGGAACAAACGAGATCACGCACTCCGTTTTGAAATACCAACACAGTACGATGTGAATATAACAGCCATTGGTGTTATCCTTTCCACTTATTCGCCAAATATGCTAATTCAATTTTGGCTACAATTCTATGTCGATACAACAATTCCCATGTTGAATACTTTTAACATTCGAACATTATTAACATTATATCCGGGACAACAACATTTTTCTAGTAAATGGACAAAAGTCAATAGTGGTGGACGATATCAAAAAAATACATTTTATCATAATGTAGGATACCGTGTATTAATTGAACAAGAGTCTGTCTCAACATCACTCACTATTATTCTTCATCAAATTCCATATACCAACAGTAAAGATACACCAATTACATCGTTACAAAATCATCATCCCATAGGTCGATACGTTTTCTTAGTGACAGATAAAAATGTTAAACTAAAAGAAAGTCCGCCATTATACTCTGATGCAGAATTTATACGAGCACGTTCAATATCAAAAATTGTTCAGATTCATAAAGGACACGAATACTATGTTGTGCTGACTTGTTTTGAGCCAAATTCAGAAGCCGCATATGATTTAACGTTTTTATCAGATATTCTTTTATCGATCACAAAAACTGAATCTATTGATATATTAAAACCTCGTGTTGTCACACCACCTAAGAACAAAACTCAACCTTTATTTTTAAAAGTAAAGGTAGAAATAAATAAATAAATATAAATGGATCATTTACTTTTATAAAATAAAGATAATTTTTTATTTATTTATTTATCTTTATTTTTTAAGTATAAATGATTCATTTACTTTTATCCATTATTATAAATGAACAGTAAAAACTAAATTAACACCCCTACCTAGTTGTCACACCACCTAAGAACAAAACTCAACAAAAAAACCCATCATCATCTTCTCCAATAGCTCCGAAGTACAAAGAAGGGCGCTCTCGCATCTAAATTAAAGGGACTAGCTTAAAACTAAGCGCAGCTATCTTCGATTGTAACCAGCTGTGGTTGGTTGGTTAGACAACGCAGTGTCCGTTTTCAGCTAAAATGCCTCCTCATAAACTCGCTTGTAGCTAGCTACATACATCTTTGTAAAAAAGACGCCGAAGCTATTATTCAGCTAGATTTTTTCTCTTGCTTATTTTTATTCGACATTCTCGCAGAAATCCAAGAAGGATGCTTGATATATTACTTAACCCTTTGGCTCCCGGTGACGTATAAATACGTCTAGTTGCAATTATTGCATGATCATAATAGCTAGAATAAATTTGAAAAAAGATTTGAATAGCTGAAAGAATTTCCGATCTCAGGTGGTGTATACAAAGGCTCTATCAAAACT